TCCTGGCTCCTGGCTTTGGATTGGCACAGCTCCAGCCATTGTCGCCAATTGGGAGTGAACCATCAGATGGAAGATCTCTCTCTCTCTCTCTGCCTTTCCTCTCTCTGTGTAACTGACTTTCATAAATAATCTTAAAAAAAAAAAAAAGAATCTACCTTTGAATCTCACAATGAATACTAGGTAGTTTCTGACCTCAGGGAGCTGGTAACACAACTGGGGAAATAAACTGTTGCAGAAACTGTGACAAGTCCCCAAATAAAAACACATAGGGATGTACAGGACAGATGGATGGCTATTTGCCCCTCATGCATCAGAGAAAACATCTGGTCACAGGTGACCTCTCACACAAATCCCAAGGGATGAATTGAAGTGATTTGGGTAATAAAGCTAGCAGGTGACTATTTAATAGAGGAGAGGTCAAGGTGAGCATCTGACCAAGGTGAAAAGAACTTGGTGCATAGTGGGAATGTGCAGTTGTTCAAGATGAGGAGATAGAATATCACGGAGCCTGCAGAAATGAGGCTGCAGAGGTAAGCAGAGATGAATTAGGAACAGGCTATATTTGGGTAATTGCTAGGGTTATTCTCTTGGAAAGATGAGGCCACAGATCTTCAGGAATATTCAATTTTGGGATTGAGTTTTTCTTCTGTGTTTACTACTATTATATCTTTGAATTCTTACTTAACTGAGTCATATCACAGCACATCTACTACATACTATTTGAATTAATCTAATGGGCAACACACATTGCATTTGGCATAGTACCTTAAGGTTAATGAGTCATATCTCCACATCAATGGATTAACACAGAAGTCTTTACATTGTGCTCACTGACAGCTAGATTTCTCACTAGAGCACCATAGTATTCAATGATAAACCCAATCATTGAGTTTCGAAAATGTGAATATTTGTTACAAAAAAGGCAACATTTTTACCATTGGATAAAAATCTGCAAGTAGCTTTCAATGTGTTTCCTATCAGATTTCTGAAGAGACCCTTGATTTCATATGCCACCCTAAATTCCTACCCTTTAGGATCGCTGGATTTCAAAGGAAGAAAGAAAAGTAAGTTAAAATCAATACTGGCTTGGAAACTTTAATTTCAGTAAATGCCAAATACTCACAAACCAAGATAAACTCGTTATTTGGGGGAAAGATAAAGTTTCCTTTTTATTTTTCTTCCCAGTGCAGCTAGAGAATTCTGCAGTGTAGCATCAGCACCTCTGAGCAGATAGCTATTCCTCAAACCTTACCCTGCTTCCCACACCCACACACAACACTTTCTTTTTTCACTGCTTTCTTGCAGGTCTGTGAGTGAATTAATACTTTGTATAACATCAAAAATAGAATCCTTCCCCCATTTAGGCAGAATTCATAGATGACTACTGTCATTTACCCACAGAATAGAGGTTATACAAATATGCTGTTAGTGTTCCCCGAGTAAACACCTTTGCCTAATAATTTGAAGCATTTTAAGCTTCTTATAAAAGTGACTAAAAAGTATAAAAGAGAAAATGAAAGATAATATGTGTTTCTTACCAATTATTACAGCTGTTACAATCTTTTATAGCCCTCCCCTTGTTTCCCTAAAACATATGAGAATTGGAAAAGAGAAGTCAATGTGTGAATATGTATGTGTGCAATATCAAATACAAATATTATTAAAAATGAAACATACTCTAATTTCTACTCTATAATCTATATTTTCCCAGTGATATTTAAATGTGTCACAGGGTACTGATAATTATATATTTATACATGATTTAAATGTTATATAATATACAATTTTGTGTGAATACACTATAATTTATTTCACCAATTTGCATTGGTAAGTATTTAGTTCCTTCTTAATTTTTGCAAATACACACAATGACGCTGTAATTAAAAGTGTGTACTCATATTTTCACTCTTCTTCATATTGTCTAGAATAATTCCTAATAGTAAAATTTGAAGGCAAAAGATAGGAATAGATTTTAATAATAGATTCTTTACCGAATTATCCGTCAATAATATTGCACTGTCTATGCAGAGCACAAGAGAGTGAGCATACTCAATTTCCCTGACTATAGCCAGAGAATAAAAATCACTTTGTGGAGCCACTAAAAATTTTTTCATTGTGCTAGAACATTATTCTGGTGATTCATATTATGAACATTATGTCATAGGATTTGAGAAATTCCTATCTTTTAGGTATTTGATTATATCTACCCTGCCTTTTTTGTTAATTCTTAAATTTGTATGTTACCAGCATTTCATTTTTTCATTGAGGAAGTTGTAAGTGTATTTATTTTCTTCCCTCTAAAACAGAACCATTTTCTCACTTATTTCAGTTTTAATTTTCAGAAATTTATTATTATTTCATTTTGTTATTTTTTTCATTTTTTTGTCTTCCCTTTGCTTTGATAACACAAACTACTGCTTTTTCTAACTTCTTAAGATGATTAGTTCATGCTTTGTTTGATGATGAAATTAATTTTGAGGTTCTATAATGGGTTTCCGTAATTTGATTGAGGCATAAATGACAGAGAATAAATATTTAATGTATGTAATTGTATATACTTTGACATAAACCTGTGAAACTACTACCAAAAGTGAAATAATGAAGAAATTTATCACTCCCCTAAAATTTTTATGGCTCTCTACCCCACTGTAAACCCTTCCTTCTGCCTCCTGCATACCATACTATTTATCCCAGGGAAACCACTGGTCTACATTCTGTCCTTATACATTAGTTTGCATGTCTTAGAATTTTATATAATAGAAACATGTAAAATCTTACTCTCTTCTTTTTTTCACTAAGTATAATTATTTTGAGATACATCTTTGTTCTTGCATGCATTAGTTGCTCATTCCATATTATTGCTGAAAAGTATGCCAATGTATGGATATGTCATGGTTTGTGTATGCATTCACCAGAGAAAGGGCATCCATGCTGTTTCTAGTTTGGGCTATTACAAATAAAAATGATACAGGGGCTGGCGCTGTGGCGCAGTGGGTTAACGCTCTGGCTTGAAGTGCCAGCATCCCATATGGGTGCCGATTCAAGACCTGGCTGATCCATTTCTGATCCAGCTCTCTGCTAAGGCCTGGGAAAGCAGTAGAAGATGGCCCACATCCTTGGGCCCCTGCACTTGTGTGGGAGAACCGGAAGAAGCTCCTGGCTCCTGGCTCCTGGCTCCTGGCTTTGGATTGGCGCAGCTCCAGCCATTGTTGCCAATTGGGGAGTGAATTATCAGATGGAAGACCTCTCTCTCTCTCTCTCTCTCTCTCTCTCTGCCCCTCTTCTCTCTGTGTAACTCTGACTTTCAAATAAATGAATAAATCTTTAAAAAAAATGATACAAACATCCATGCACTCATCTTTGTTGACATAAACTCATGTTTTTTTTCTGATAAATACCTGTCAATTAAATTTCTGAAATATATTTTAGGGGCATTTAACTTTTAAGAAAAAGCTAAAGTCATTTCCAAATGATTTAATTATTTAAACTTTCATCAATAGTGTATAAGAGTTTCAATACTTCCAAATATCACTGTTTTTATACTCACTCTTTTAAGCTAGTTTGTCTTTTTATTAAATGCATAATGGAATCTTATTGTGTTTCAATTTGCATGAAATTCTACATTTTTGTTGTGTCCTAGACAATGTATGGTTTCTTTTTAGAATAATAATTTATAATATGCTATGTTGTTTCTTATTATCTTTAAAGTGGATAATTATGATATTTACTTCAACTAGCCTTACACAGTTATGAAACTAAATGTGAAAATGATATAAATCACTCAGTAGAGTGCCTAGAATCTAGTGTCATCAGCTTACTGTTTTCCTTTTTTTAATAGAAAACTTTTATTTAATAAATATAAATTTCAAAAGTAAAACTTTTGGATTATAGTGGTTCTTCCCCCCATAATCCTTCATCCTCCATCCACAAACCATCCCATCTCCTACTCCTTCTCTCATCTCATTCTTCATTAATATTCATTTTTAATTATCTTTATATACAGAAGATCCATTCTATACTGAGTAAAGATTTCAACAGTTTGCACCCACACATACACACAAAGTATAAAGTACTGTTTGAGGATTAGTTTTACTGTTAATTCTCATAGTACAACACATTAAGGATCGAGGTCCTACATGGGGAGCAAGTGCACAGTGACTCCTGTTGTTAATTTAACAATTGATACTCTTTTATGACATTAGTGATCACCCAAGGCTCTTGTCATGACCTGCCAAGGCTATGGAAGTCTCTTGAGTTCACAAACTCTGACCTTATTTAGACAAGGCCATAATAAAAGTGGAAGTTCTTTCCTCCCTTCAGGGAAAGTTACCTCCTTCTTTGATGGCCCCTTCTTTCCAAGGAGATCTCACTCACAGAGAACTTTCATTTAGGCACCTGCTAACTTAAAGGGATCTGGACTCCCATGGCAAGTTTTTAGCTATACCCTTATGGGTAAGTCTATCAGCTCACTGTTTTCTTTAATTGCTATTGTTGTTTAATATTATTATTGAAAAAATTATCGTGTTTATATTGTTACATTAAGGAGAAAGAGCTGGAAGATGAGAGAGTAGCCCTAGATTTCCAGTTCTGAATCTGTTTGCCCTGAATTTATACCTGGATATTTAACTCAGAAAACCTCACAATGTGATTTTTCTATGCCCCCCCCCCATTCTTGCAAGGGATTAGCTTGTGTACCACATAAATAACCATCAGCCTAGAAGCATTCTAGAAGTCTTAGGTTCTATATTTAAATGCAAGTTGGAATAATAAAATGTTGATAAAATAATACTTGTATAAAAATGATGGTGGTAATAATTGATATAAAATGATATGTAGGGGCCAGCACTGTGGCACAGTAGGTTAAACCTCTGCCTGCAGCACCAGCATCCCATATGGGTGCTGGTTGTAGCTTTGGCTGCTCTTCTTCTGATCTAGCTCCCTGCTATAGTGCCTGGGAAAGCAACAGAAGATGGCCCAAGTGCTTGAGCCCCTGTACTCACATGGGAGACCTGGACCTGGAAGAAGCTCCTCTCCTGGTTTCAGAATGTCCCAGCTCTAGGTGTTGCAGCCATTTGGGGAGCAAATGAGCAGATGGAAGACCTCTCTCTGTCTCTCTCTCTCTCTCTCTGTAACTCTGTCTCTGAAATAAATAAATTTTTCAAAAAATTAAAAAACTGATATGTACTGAATGTTAAACTATCCAAAATTGAAAAATCATAAATCTATTTAAAAACTACCATCTCCTCATTTTGTTATTTGTATTTTCCCAACAGCCAGTACTTTTCAGTATGCATATGTAAAGAAAGAAAAATATTTGAAGAAATAAATAACTAATAAAATTACAAAAAAATTTGATATTTCTAATTTAAATAATTGTTTAGACAGTTGGTTACTAAGACATTTTATAAATATCTTTAGAAATACATGTGTTCGAGAATATAAAGCCTTACGGGCAGAGCCAAGATGGTGGAATAGTGAGGGTGCGCACCGATAGTCCAGGAAAAGATAGTTTAATAAAAGTGGAGTTACAGTAGCCTCAGGAAAAGGATCAGGAAAAAATTGCATAGGAAACTCTTCCAGATCTAGTGGATGTGACACGGAGGACCTACAGAGAGAGCAAGGTCACCCACAGCATGGAAGCCGAGCAGCGGGAGCCGAGCAGCAGAGTCTGCACACCAGCGCTGGAAGGGGAGGTGAGAGAAAAACCTCGGGAACCCAAGACATTGGTGGGGAAAGGCAGAAAGAGCCTACAGAGAACGAGGCCTGAAACCCCACTGGGAAAAGTTCACCAGGCTGACTGGAGGAGAGAAAAAAACAAATAAATAAGGGGAACTGGCAAGGACATTAGCCTCTCTCTCCACTCACCTTACAAAACCAAGCAAGACGAAGGGCAGGCACCATTTTACGTAGGTAAAGCAGCATGCACCATTTTGCATATGTAAAGCGGAGCCCCTCATTAGCCAAGCAGAAAAACCTGACTCTGGTGGAAATAACAGAAATAACAGGAGGTTAACACCTAGTGAAAGTGAGGAGCTAACGAACTGAGATTGTGAAAATCTGAAGGGGGGGGGGAGAGAACTCACCGAGTACACAAACTCGGTAACCTGGGCAACCTGGTGAGAGACTGTTGAGAAATTTGAGACCAAACTGCAGGCTGCATAAACTCTTTGTGTGGTCCCAGTGGTAAGCAGACGAATACCCACAGGGGCCAGATTTCATACATCAATTACTCTCAATTCCACTCAGCTGTGTGGAATTACTTCCCAACTGAGTTAAAAAAAAAAAAAAAAAAAAAAAAAAAAAAAAAACCAGAGAGAGAGAGAGAGAGAGCCAGTGAGAGAACAATCTGGGTGAATCACCTTTGGCAAACCCCTTAACCCTGAAGAACCAAACAGAATTCTTTGGCCACACCCATCTCAGCCTCCAAGGATCCATTAAAAGCAGACAGTCCACTTAATCTAGAGTCACAGTATAACGAGAAAAAACACCACACCGAAGAAACCAAAGAATATCTCCAATATGCCATACAACAAACACAAAAACCGAGGTAACAAGAACAAGGAAGACACTATGACGCCCCCAAATGAAATAGACACCCCAATTCAAGAGTATGAAGATGATGACATAGAAGAAATGCAAGAAGCAGATCTCAAAAAATTGATAAGCATTTAAAAAAAAATCATCTATTATTTTTCACTTTATGTTTCTGTGTGGGAGCAAACTGTTGAAATCCTTACTTAAGGTATACTAAGCTGATCTTCTGTATATTAAGATAATCGAAAATGAATCTTGATGTGAATGGAAGGGGAGAGGGAGTGGGAAAGGGGAGGGTTGTGGGTGGGAGGGACGGTATTGGGGGGGGGGAAGCCATTGTAACCCATGAGTCGTACTTTGGAAATTTATATTCATTAAATAAAAGATAAAAAAAAAATTGATAAGAACATTAAGAAGTTCTCAAAAACAAATTCTTGAACTACAGAAATCCTTAATGGACAAGATAGAAAATCTCTCTCGTGAAAATGAAATATTAAGGAGGAATCAAAATGAAACAAAACAACTAGTACAACAGGAAACTGTGATAGTGACGAGAAATCATAATGAAGTGAAGAATTCAATAGATCAAATGAAAAACACAATAGAGAGCCTTACAAACAGAATGGGTGAAGCAGAAGAGAGAATATCGGACTTAGAAGACAGAGAACAGGAAAGGATACAGTCAGACCAAAGAAAAGAAGAGGAAATTAGAAATCTAAAACATATTGTCCGGAATCTTCAGGATACTGTGAAAAAACCAACATTCGGGTTCTAGGAGTTCCTGAAGGCATGGAGAGGGAGAAAGGATTAGAAGGCCTTTTTAGTGAGATATTAGCAGAAAACTTCCCAGGTCTGGAGAAGGACAGAGAAATCCTAGTACAGGAAGCTCACAGAACCCCTAATAAACATGACCAAAAGAGATCCTCACCACGACACATTGTAATTAAACTCACCGCAGTGAAACATAAAGAAAAGATCCTAAAATGTGCAAGAGAGAAATGTCAGATTACTCTCAGGATCTCCAATCAGACTCACAGCTGACTTCTCATCAGAAACCCTACAAGCTAGGGGAGAATGGCGAGATATAGCCCAGGTACTAAGAGAGAAACACTGCCAGCCCAGAATATTATATCCTGCAAAGTTCTCATTTGTGAATGAAGGTGAAATAAAGACCTTTCACAACAAACAGAAATTGAAAGAATTTGTTGCCACTCGTCCAGCTCAGCAAAAGATGCTTAAAGATGCGTTACACACAGAAACACAGAAACATGGTCATCAATATGAAAGAAAGTAAACAAAGGAAACCTCACAGCAAAAGATCACAGGAAGTTCAAAACATATATTAGAAAATATCTTTGGAAAATGGCAGGGCAAAGTTACTACTTATCAATAGTCACATTGAACGTTAATGGCCTCAACTGTCCAGTTAAAAGACACCAACTGGCTGACTGGGTTAAGAAACAAAACCCATCTATTTGCTGCTTACAAGAAACACATCTTTCCAACAAAGATGCATACAGACTGAAAGTGAAAGGCTGGAAAAAGATATACCATGCCAACAGAAATGAAAAAAGAGCGAATGTAGCCATCTTAATATTGGACAACATAAACTTTACCACAAAAACTGTTAAGAGAGACAAAGAGGGACACTATATAATGATTAAGGGATCAATTCAACAGGAAGATATAACGATTATCAATGTATATACACCTAATTACAGGGCACCGGTTTATTTAAAAGATTCGTTAAGGGACTTAAAGGGAGACTTAGACCCCAATACAATAGTACTGGGGTACTTCAATACTCCACTCTCAGAAATAGACAGATCAACCAGACAGAAGATCAACAAGGAGATAGAAGATTTAAATGACACTATAGCCCAAATGGATCTAACAGATATCTACAGAACTTCTCATCCTACACATAAAGCATTTACATTCTTCTCAGCAGTACTTGGAACTTCTCTAGGATTGACCACATACTAGGCCATAAAGCAAGTCTCAGCAAATTCAAAAGAATTAGAATCATACCATGCAGCTTCTCAGACCATAAAGGAATGAAGTTGGAAATTAGCAACTCAGGAAGCCCTAGAGCATATGCATATGCATGGAGATTGAACAACATGCTCCTGAATGAACAATGGGTCATAGAAGAAATTAAAAGAGAAATCAAAAACTTTCTGGAAGTAAATGAGGATAACAGCACAACATACCAAAACTTATGGGATACAGAAGAAGCAGTGTTAAGAGGAAAGTTTATATCAAAAGGTGCCTACATCAAGAAATTGGAAAGGCACCAAATAGATGAGCTTTCAGTGCATCTCAAGGATCTAGAAAATCTGCAGCAAACCAGACCCAAATCTAGTAGAAGAAGAGAAATAATTAAAATCAGAGAAGAAATCAACAGGCTTGAATCCAAAAAAAATTACACAAAATCAGCCAAACAAGGAGATGGCTTTTTGAAAAAATAAACAAAATTGACACCCCATTGGCCCAACTAACTAAAAAAAAAGACCCAAATCTGTGGGGAGCAGCCCGGACTGGACTGAGTTACTGGAATTAAGACTTATTCTATGCATCTGCTCTCCCACAATATGGCGCTGGGAGAGAAGTAAACAGCTTCTGCACAGCTGCCTCCAGTTCAACCAATAAACTGTAGGACTTGCTCCTGATTGGAGGAGAGCAGCGTACTCGGCGTGTGGGCAGCCGAGTTAGGATTGGCGGAGCAGGACTGTAAAGGAGGAGAGAGACGGCATGCACCGGGAACATCTAAGGGGAACATCTAGCTGAAGGAACACCCGTGCAGCCCCCGAGAAAGCCGGCCGGCGGTGTGCCGCTCCCCTGCGGAAGTGGGGAATGTGGCCAGGGGGAACTGCCCTTCCACGGAGGTGGAAGGGATAGTAGCCAACCCGGGAAGAACCAGCAGCAAACCCGGGGAGGGCCGAGCAGACGAAAGAACAGCGCAGGGTCCTGTGTCATTCCTCCACAAAGAGGGGGAGCGACACAAATCAATAAAATCAGAGATGAAAAAGGAAACATAACAACAGACACCACAGAAATAAAAAGAATCATCAGAAATTACTACAAGGACTTGTATGCCAGCAAACAGGGAAACCTATCACAAATGGATAGATTCCTGGACACATGCAACCTACCTAAATTGAACCAGGAAGACATAGAAAACCTAAACAGACCCATAACTGAGACAGAAATTGAAACAGTAATAAAGGCCCTCCCAAAAAGGAAAAGCCCAGGACCAGATGGATTCACTGCTGAATTCTACCAGACATTTAAAGAAGAAGGAACTCTAATTCTTCTCAAACTATTCAGAACAATTGAAAAAGAGGGAGTCCTCTCAAATTCTTTCTATGAAGCCAGCATCACCTTAATTCCTAAGCTGGAAAAAGATGTAGCGATGAAAGAGAATTACAGACCAATATCCCTGATGAACATAGATGCAAAAATCCTCAATAAAATTTCGCCAATAGAATACAACAACACATCAGAAAAATCATCCATCCAGACCAAGTGGGATTTATCCCTGGTATTCAGGGATGGTTTAATGTGCACAAAACAATCAATGTGATACACCACATTAACAGACTGCAGAAGAAAAACCATATGATTATCTCAATAGATGACAAGAAAGCATTTGATAAAATACAACACCCTTTCATGATGAAAACTCTAAGCAAACTGGGTATGGAAGGAACATTCCTCAATACAATGAAAGCAGTTTATGAAAAACCCCGGCCAACATCCTATTGAATGAGGTTAGAATGGCTCACATTCAGAAATCTACCAACAATAGATGCTGGAGAAAAGTGGGGAAAAAGGGACACTAACCCACTGTTGGTGGGAATGCAAACTGGTAAGCCACTATGGAAGTCAGTCTGGAGATTCCTCAGAAACCTGAATATAACCCTACCATACAACCCAGCCATACCACTCCTTGGAATTTACCCAAAGGAAATGAAATTGGCAAACAAACAAGCTGTCTGCACATTAATGTTTATTGCAGCTCAATTCACAATAGTTAAGACCTGGAACCAACCCAAATGCCCATCAACAGTAGACTGGATAAAGAAATTATGGGACATGTACTCTATAGAATACTATGCAGCAGTCAAAAACAATGAAACCCGGTCATTTGCAACAAGATGGAGGAATCTGGAAAATATCATGCTGAGTGAATTAAGCCAGTCCCAAAGGGACAAATATCATATGTTCTCCCTGATTGGTGACAACTAACTGAGCACCAAAGGGGAAACTTGTTGAAGTGAAATGGACACTATGAGAAACAGTGACTTGATCAGCTCTTGTCCTGACGGTTGATGTACAATGTAATACTTTATCCATTTTAGTATTTTTTTTGTTCTAGTACCATTGGTTGAACTCTGTAATTAACACACAATTATTCTTAGGTGTTTAAATTTGAACTGAAATGTGATCCCTGTTAGGAATTTGGAAAACATTATGCTGAGTGAAATAAGCCAGTCCCAAAGGGACTAATATCATGTGTTCTCTC